AAAAAAACCCTGTAAGATGAGGAGGTGGGATAGACAGATGAAGGTACTAATTTTGGGTGCCTTGAGACCTTGGACCTGATTTTTCAGAATATTTAGCATTAGATAGCACTTCATATATTCAAAGCACAATTCCTGTTGTTCACTTGCAGCTGTGAATGCTCAGCACTTCTGCAAATCAGGCACCCAGAAAATGAGGAATTCAGAGTTAGTGACGACTTGTGAAAAGTTTGGTTTCAAGTAACTTGCTTAGTAGGCACTCTTTAGCAAAGAGAGGAATAGAATCCAATTCTTCAAGGCAGCATTCAGCTACGTTAACTGTGTGACCTTTCTTTGTCTTCCTGTAGTCTCTTGCCTCATTCACTACACACCTTCCAACTTTTGCAACAATTGAAGCAAGTGTTCTACAGACAACAGTCTACTTCGCTACTCTACACAATGCTTATTCTCCCCCTGGCAGCTCCATACTGTGCACTGAATGAGGCAGGTGTCCAGTGGAAAAGATAGTATGTGGTCATGTAATTAAAGACTGTATCATAATGCATAAGCACAAAGCCCAAACCCAGGTTGTACAGTCAACCCTAATTCTGGCTTTTCCGATTTTATGAGTGCTTGACTGTGCATCTATGTCTGTCTGTCTATCATATGCGCATGTCTATTTCTTATGTTTTGCAGGTGGTCTCCGTGGTACAGTCTAAGATAAATAAAACCAAGAAAGATCAGGACACAGAAAGAGAAAACAAAAATGAGAAGGTATTTATTCCATTTGTGTATCGTATCCAAGCTTTACTGGGTCAGATGATATAACAATGTCATTTATAAATGAATACTAGGCTTTTTATCTTAAATAAAAGGGGTAAAATGCTACAAAAATGGTATGTTAACTACATTGAGTAATATTTAATATAAATAAAGTTTAGCACTTTATCTGTAGATTTCAAAGTGCTTTACAAAGATGAGTTAGCATCAGTATCCCCATTTTACAGCTTCTGTCATAGCAACTGCCAGCCACTAGCTATAAAGTGGAATAATAGTAAAAGTAACTGTGTAGTTTCTTGAAAAAAGGTTAATGATGTGGGTCTTTGCACATATTTGGCGTTGTTGGGAGTAATGTGTTTCTGTTGAGACAGTGGATGCTGGTATATATTTGTTAAGATTGCTTTCAGAGCCTTAATTCTGAATTTCCTGACTTTCAAATGTTTGGATTTTTTTCCTGGAAAAACTACCGGCCCAAATTTTCATACTTGGTTGCCCTAGTTAGCACAGTACTTTTTGTGTCCCCACACACAGAAATGCCCCAGGTGATGTATAGTTGGTTTACAAATGGTCTAATATAATCACTTAGGATGATGTACCTTTCTGCAAACTTAATAATTAACCAATTGATTAATTTTAATGACTGTGTGGTAGCAGACATACTAAAACAGTTAATCTGGTTTCCTATATCTGTCCTGCAAAATCTCCCCAATCACATTGCTTCTGGAAGCCAAGCTGGGGATTGTGGCATACGTACCCAGAAGGCTTTGCAACTGAAACAGTGTAGGGATAGCACTATTGTGGATGTTGGCCAAACTTAAACCAATTCAGCATGGCTAGGTTGGGTACGCTGACCCGTGTGTGCTTGAACTGGTTCAGTCCTCGAATGTTAAACTCAAAGGCCTTGTTGCTTTAGAAAATGTTTTGCAGGCTACTTAGTGATTCAGAATCTGGGAGTTTTCAGATTATCCCAGGAAAGCAAGGAAGCTAGGGTTTCGTGGCAGTGAGCAGTACTTGAAATAAAGCAGTTACTGTACCCCTTGCTTGGCTTTATCTATCTTTGTAATCTAAAAAGCACATCCACTTGCAATTTTGCTGTTTTTAATCTCTAGGACTCCAGTGTGTGGAATGTTAAAACTGTAGGAAGTCAATGAGTGAGCCTAACCTTTTTCAAAGCTGTTAAAAGTAACCCTTCTATGGGTGCTGTAACGTAGATGAGTAGAATATAGAACAGCTTCAATGAATAAGTGAGGAGTTTCTTTTTAGCTTTGAACGTTAATTCACAAAGCAGACATCATGTGCTTCAGCAGGGGCAGCTCTCAGTAAAAAACAGATATGGCTATGAGTGGATTATTAGCCTGCATTCCTATGGGAAATCAGTGATATTTCTAGTCTAGTCGTCAAAGTGTCATGAAAGAACTAAGTTTGAAAGCAAAATATCCAACTTGAAAAAACTGCTGTTCTTATTTGGGTCATTATTTTTAATTAGTGGGGACTTCCTCTGTTACTCACTGGTGTTTGTTCTACTCTGTAGTGACTTACATGTGTTAGATGCTATTTTAAAAATTATTATTTATGAGAACTGCTTACAATGCTTGGGTTTCTTATGTGAAAACGAAATATAAAAGTTGTGCTGTGTACACATCTTGTAAAAGGTCGGCCAGTTCAAATATGTGATGTAGTTAGATGCTCTGGAAGCCTAAATTGATGAGTCCAATAGACAGTTATGTGAATTTCCACCTTGCCCTCCTCTTTCAGGACAGATTCTAATAGCCTGTCTGTAGGTCTGATCCAACGGCCATTGAAGTCAATGACCGTATCAGTGCTTGGGTATGCACTAAGTATCAGCCCACCAGCCCCGCCCCTTCTGCATGAAACTCCACCCCCCGAGTCCCTCCACGCTGGCCGGCCCACCCCAGGTCAGCTGAGCCACCCCAGATGCACCACCCCGGACCACACCGGCTGCCCTAACCCCAGCCGGCCGCCCTAACCCTTGGGCCAGCCCGAGCTGTCCCAGCTGGCCTGACCTCTGGGCCGGCCTGAGCCCCAGCCCAGGCCCTGGCCACTGGCTGATCATCGAGCCTCAGGCCGGGGGGTCAAAGTGTGGGTGGGGCCACATCAGAGGCCAAGGAAGGCTTAGCCTTCCTTGGCCTATGCTATCCGCTGCCCCTGCTTCAGTGGATTTTGGATCAAGCCTTGCAGACAGAGCAGGTGTAGAATTGTGCACTGTGCGGTCTTTCATATCCTGCTGGTGTGTAGTTTTCTTAATAAAGTCCAAATTATTGTGTGTTTTCTGGAAGTGGTTGCACAAACTGCATTCAGTTTAGTCACTTTATAAAGGTTCAGACAATTATTTTTCTCCTACGAAGGAAATGGCAGATCACTGTAACTCAACTCTTTTGAAGGGGTTTGAAGTTTGTATTCTTGTCTGTTACATCAAGTAACAAAAGGCTCAGTGGGAGGTGCCTGGTAGCCGAGCCTAGGGAGAGGCAGAGGCCAAAGGAGCACTTGGTTGGGGAGAGTGGGAAAGCCGGAGCAAAGAGGGCAGATGGGAGGACCTTGAGAAGCAAGTGGGATCTTGGAGGGGAGCTAGAGCAAAGGGAGCCATTCTGGGGCAAGTTTCTGGGAGATCTTGTGGGAAGAGGGATACTGGGGGAGAGACTGGGAACCTGGGAGCAACAAACAGAAGGGAAAAGAAAAAAGTCTTGTGTGACCTGAGTGAGGGATGACTGGGCCTTTCTGGGGATGAAGGAAAAGAGAAGTAGGGATTTGGCAGAGAAAAGAAGAGGTGTATATACAGCACAAGTAAAACAGCATCACCCAGTTCAGGGAGAGATGTGTGAAAGAGAAAAAAAGGCGACCAACACTGGAGGTGTTTAGCAAGTGGCTGGTGGTCAAAGAGATCTGGGGGCACGAGGGTATAGGGTGGAGTTGAATTGAAAACCGGGACAGAAACTTTTAAACTGGAAGAAGAGAGGAAGGAAGCCAGTGAAAGTGACAGAGATTAAGAGTGATGATCTCATAGCCTGAAGCGTGAGAATGGTCTAGCTGAGGTATTCTGAATTCCCTGAAGTTTAGAGGCTACATAAAGGACAGAATAGTGGTAGTTAACTGAGTGATTAAGGCATGAAATAAGGATTTCAGTAGTGGCAGTTTCAAAACGAAGTCTAATTTGGCCAGTGTTCTGGAGGTGAATGTACAGATAAAGGAGGCGTGAAATGAAAGAAAATTTCAGGGTCAAGGCTGACACCACTGCTTCTGACCTCAGGAGCAAAATTAAGGAGAGTTATCGCAGGCATGGAAAATAAAGAATTTTTTTACTCTGGGGGGAGGACTTAGCTCTTAGAAGCTTTAGAGTAGCAGGATGTTATGCGAAAGCGAGGAACTGATTATCAGGAGGAAATGAGAGTTAGACAGGGCATAAATGTATATGTCATTTGTGTAAAAATTATATCCAGGGTTGAAGCAATGAGATGATCCAGGGTGAAGTGATGGAGAAGAGGACTAAAATAAGAGCCTCTGGGAATAATTTCTTGAGAACAAGTAGGAAGTGAAGAGAGTGAGATGTGAGATTTTCTGGCTAATGATGGCCAGCTGGTACATCCCATTCCTGGAGGCAGGCAGTTTCAGTTTTACAAAACACTTTGAAAACAAGGCAGAAAGCTGTCATGGAGAGGTGAATTTGGAGAAGGCCCCTTTTTCATTACTATATGGGAAATGAGTTTTCCAGGTATGGCAGTGGACGATGAGCACCAGCTTGTAGACCCGGGCAGAAAATCTCGACTTCACAGAGGTGATCCTTGTACCAGTGTGAGCAGATGATGTATGAGAGAGGGTGAGAGAGATTGGGTTAAGAACTGATAAAGTATACAATACATGAGTCCTGGTGAGGAGCTTGTCAGCAAATGAGGCATTGAGGAGAGTGGCATATGGGAAGGTTTTGGTTCTAAGAATAGTTTTAAAAGAATTTCATTTATTGTCTTTGAGGCATATCGATCGGATAGATACTACAAATCCATGCCTGGAATTGAAACTTCCTTATTCTGCAACCTATAAATATGCTCCTGATGCAAATGAAATACCAAGTGTGGTCTGAGGACACTGTTCAAGACAAGTGGGAATCGCATGAGGAATTTCTTCAGAAGTCAATGTTTAAATTACCTTGTAGGAACCTGCTGGTAGAAGCTGCACTGTTAAGTTAGACATGATCCCTGACTGTTCATAAAATGGAAAAAATGCAGTTAGTGACTTCTGTTATTATGTTAAGCTTTGCTGTTGCTGAGGTAAAGTACAAATAGTGTGTGTGCCTTAATCCAAAGCCCACCCAATTTAATTTAGAGACTCCCACTCATTTCAGAGGGTTTTGAATCAAGGCATGCACATAAGAAGTCCCATTGTCGGGACAAGATGAAATACCTGATCAACAAAATCCCAGTGTCTACAATCCTGAATTGTAGTATTTGCTTTACAATTAAGATCAGGTGCTATACAAAAGTGAAAAATCGGACAACTCTGGCCCAAAAGAATTTGCAGTCTAATTCTGCTATTCTAAAAAATCCCAATTATTTAAACTTGCAACAATCAAAATAGCAATGGATGCCAAATGGAGATGCTTTTTCTTATTCATGTTTGAAAGTGTGTCTAATTTAGAAACATTTCTGTCATTCTATCTGCTGCAGCATTTTGGGCGTGTGCCATGTAACTACCATTAATGTTGTCTCTTTTTAAAAAATTATTGAGGCCCATTGTCAAGCTTTTCTGAAATCCCACTTTGGGTCAAGATGTAAGGAGTAGCAAACTTAATTTTATTAGGTTGAAATAGGAGTACGAACCATTGCTAGAAAGAAGTGAGTTTGGAGTAGGATTTGAGGAAATAGGGTGGCTTTGTGGCATATAAAATCAGAGGATACACCAGGTTAAAGCTATTTTAACTTTGTTAAAATCTTTCTTTAAATATAGGAACTGCCAGCTAGATCCTCCAGCCCCACAGAAAATCAGGTAGGTCCCATACTCATTTTGCTGACTCTTCCCAACAAATGTTCTGTTCCTTTCTCTGGGCAAATTCCTGAACTTGTCTGAAGTGCTCCAGGATGAAATCTTACCACTTTTACAGGAAACCAAGGGGATAGGGGCTGTTTGTTTGCCTTTTGAAAATAGACTTTCATTTTCTTGAATATCAGGAATTCGATTGTGAATCTTTCACACAACTCTAGTGAATAACGGAATCTACAGGCAAGAGGTTGAAGTTTATTTACATGTTTGTATTGAGTATGTTGACGTCCGTGAATTGGCAAAATGCTCTCTTTTGGAGGACCTGATCCAAAGCCCATTGAACTCAATTAAAAAAAATTCCAGTTGACCTCAGCGTGCTTTGGATCAGACTCTACATGACGATATTTACAAAAAATCAGGAAGTGATGGAACAAACTTATGTTAGGCTTTTTAGAGCCCTGGCCAGTAAAGATCTGCTTTGGCTATAAAAACCATTACAATCCTTTTAAAGGTTCTGTAAGTTTAATATAATAGGAAAACAGAGGGCACCTTGCTTACCTGGGGCTCCGAGGAGCTTTAATATTGATCTTGAAAGTGCTGAAAAAAGAATTGTAAAGAATAAAAAAGGCTAATAAGTGGACTCTAAAGTATTAATGGTTCTGATTTGTCACAGGCAGTTGGAAATGTGCGGTGCAAGTTCTCCAACTCTACTTATTAAAGAATTTAGAATACAAAAAATGAGTGGCACTTGCTGGGCCTCTTGTCTTGGTTTTATTTTAGTTAGAGTTTGTGTATGTGTGCGTGTGTGCGAGCTTTCTTTTGTTGGGTACTTTTGGGGAAAAAAATGTTGCTTTCTTAAGATCCTCTCAGTAGACACCCTTACTACAAATTGGTGGAATTCACTTGATTTATTAGTCTTTTGCTGGCCTCAGTGCAGCACTCCGCTGTAATAATTTTTAAACGGACAGACGATATTGTATTAACTCCTACAATTTTGTATTCAGATTCCATTGCGTATTAATGATTAGAATATTTTAACATAAATTTAGATTAAAAATATTTTATGAATCTATGTGCAGGTCCTGTTTTCGTTCTACGCAATGGAAAATATTATTTCAGATCTGATGTTTGATTCCCAAATGGTAATTCCCAGTGATTAAAACAAAAAAAAAATTCATCGCAGGCATTTTTGTTGCTCTAATGGCCTACTGTACTCACTGTTCACTTGCTAAAGTGCATCCTGCTATTAGTGGTGTGATTGTAGGGGATGTAATTGAACATAATTTAGTGAAATCATGTAGCTAACCTAAAGCATGCTCCAATTATTTTGAACCTATAAAAACAGTTGCTTGGATGTTTCAGCTCCCGTTTTCATTAGATTCCAGAGTCCTCTTTTTATACCTGATATGCGTCGCTATATGCATCATTATAGGAACTGTCTTTATTTATGTGAGGTAATAGAATTTTACTGTAAGTTATAATTCAAATGATATTTTAATTGGTACAAAAATGTAGATGAAATATGGTGTCATATTTTACTTGTAGGAGCTATAAGAGGCTTAATTCTGATTTTGCTTGCTAAAAGTGTTTTTTATTTTAAACTGCAGCAGGAAAT